GTACTTATTAGGGACGCGCTTTCTACCATCTTGTCGTTTTTTTTTTTTTTAACGGAAAAAAATTGTAATTTATTTTCAAATCTATTGTTATAACGTTTAAAATATTTTGAATTTATTATAAATGACGATTTGAAAATTAATTACGATGATATGATTTCGACACTAATTAATTTGTCTACTTTGTTAAATTAAAAAAACGGTTTTTTGTAATGGCGTACAAAAAAATTGTAAAAAAAAAAAATTACCTTTTTGGTTCGACTTTTAATTTAAACTTTCATTACAATATTATCAACGTCTGTTTCTTTTTTTTTTTTTTGTTCGTTATTTGAATTTGTTTTTTTTTTTTTAAACACTTTTTTTACTATTCACTTTTTTTTACAATTAAATAATAATTAAAAAAATTTTTTGAAAAAAAATTCACTTGTTTTAACCGCGACGGTTACTCGAATCAATGACGGAATGATATTGAAAATCGCTACCAACAAAACAAAAAAAAAAAAAAATTTTTTTTTTTTTTTTGTAAAAAACATAATAATGTAAAATGAACTCTCGTGTAAATTAAAATACGATAACGGAATAACGTTTTTTAAAATACCAAAAAAAATTTTTTTTTTTTTCAAATATGAGAAAAAAAAAATTTATTTCACGTACCGAAAGTTAAACATAAGAGGCACATGTTTTTTTTTTTATTAAAAAAAATTTCTCGCCGGACTACGAGAACCATATTTTTTACGTACGAGCACCTGTTGTTATTTTAAAAAGAACTCGATTCCCATTTGATTAACCTTAATACCCATATTCTTTAATTTTTTAGGTGAAAGTGAATTTCACTTGTTCCTTCTCCTCTCTCAATCAAGAATCACTTGCTCGCAAGTTTTTTTTTTTTTTTTTTTTTTAAACTTTTTGTAAAAAAAAAAAAACGAAATAATTAGTTTTATTAATTAATTAATTAATTAATTACTTTCGATGATAAATCGTCGTCTCACGAGATCAATGTCACTTTTTTATTTAAATAACATATTCATTTGAAAATATTATTATTATGTTGCATCATTGTTTTATTCATTGGTGAAATCCGTTAAAATTTTTTTCGCGGTTTTTCTTCTCATTTTAGATCTCTATGTCATTAACCTCTATGAATCAAAAAAATGTTTTTCCATTTCATGATCTAACAGGATGCAAATTACAAAAATTTCACATTTTTTTTTTTTTTATCATTATTATATCTTTTACCCAGCCTCAGACAAAAACATTTAATATTATTATTATTATTACTAACATGGACTCCCATTGTTTCAATCGATTGTCTTGTGTTTTATTTTAAAAAATTGAGAAATTTTTACTATTTTGACGATTGTAAATGTTCGACCATAAATAAAACGACAACAACAATTACTATAGGTTACTACAAACATAATGTTTGTAGAATAATAATAATAATGGGGTTAAGTTTATGTTTTGTTTTAATCATTATCCCAGTCAGACAAATAATAATTATTAATGAAACGAAAAAAGTCGACTTTGAATAATAATAATTATTATTATTATGTTGTTGAACAGGTGGATATATCGTCTGCTCATGACTGAACGGAATGACAATTTATTAATTGATTTAAACGTTTTGAAATATTTGATTTATTATTGTTTAACGCCATTACCTTACTTCGTATTGAAACAAAATGAATCCATAGAGTAAGAAAATGAATGTTTAGAATAGAAATTTGTTTTTATGATAATGATAATTTTTTTTTTTTTTGTTTTAGACATTCCATCGGGATGGTTATTAGAGGAGGGGGAGAGGGAGAGAGAGATAAATGAAATTCCATTTCGCCTAATTTATTAATAATACAATTCACTCTAGCGAAATGTAGGTCAGGAAAAGTAGTCCAGTTTTAAGTTGTCGGTTGGTTTCATGCAGACGCATAGGAAATCAAATCTTCCATGATGCGAGACACGAAAGAAGAATGGTCCGACGGCTTGCGATCAGGTGAGTAACGAGTTCATTAAAGGTTGTGGTGGTAAGAGTAAAAAATTTCTTCGGACTCGTCTATACAACGAGTCGCATGCTATTTGAAATGTGAGAATCGTTAAAAGACGTGCGCGATTATGAATTTAATTGATACGTGCGGGGGTTTTTTTTATAATGAAAACGTTTTGTTATGTAAAACTTTCTTTAAAAAAACAGGTGTAAATTTCTAAATTTACTATTGAGTATTTCTTTTTCCATTACTTTTTTCATAACTCTTTTTCCAGGAATTTATACGAGACAACAGAAAAAGAGTGAGATAAAAAATATGTCTGTCGTCGATAAAATGATAATAATAATAATAATAATAATAACACAAAAAAATGAAAAAAAAAATTTTTTTGTTTATTTCAAATATGCTAATGTTAAAAATAATTTTTTTTTTTTTGTACCGCACGAAATTACAAAAAAAAAAAAAAAAACTACAATATAATTACCGCAAAAGTATTATTATTATCATATAATTGTTAAATCGAAAGGAAATTTCACTAAGTCCCCGCCGCCGCCGCCACCGTCGCTCTCACTACGTCACAATCACCGCTGACTCTATTGCCACGTTAAATTTTGTTTACACGCGCACGCACGAAAATGTTAATAAGATTTTTATTACCTATCAATTTCACTTTCGTCGCAAATTTCTCTCCCCCTCTCTCTCTCTCTCTCTTTCTCATTTGACATTTATATCATAATTTAAATATTTTATTATTTATAATAACGATTAAAAAAAAAAAAAAAGTAAGAACACACACGAAGAAAGAGAGAGAGAGAGGGGGGGAGAGAGAAAGATTGATGATGAAATTAAGTAATAAAAAAAAATAAAAAAAAAAAAATTTTTCGTTTAATTTACGTCCCGGTTTATCTTCTTTTTTTAATAACTTTTAATTACTTTTATTAAATATTATTCACGGTAATAATTATTTTCGGTGTTTATATTATTATTATTATTATTACTATTAATAAGCTTAATTTTTTGATTAATTAATTTTTTATTTAAAAGTTTTAAGTTAAATTAATAATTTAAATATGTTTGAGTTTATTATTTTTATTCTTTTTACTATTAAGAGAGAGAGAGAGAGAGGAAGAAGAGAGATTAGGGAATAAGAAAGAGAGAGAGAGAGAGAAGAGAGATTAGGGAATAAGAAAGAGAGAGAGAAGAGAGATTAGGGAATAAGAAAGAGAGAGAGAGAAGAGAGACTAGGGAATTAGGAAGACAGAGAAAGAGAAGAGAGACTAGGGAATGAGACAGAGAGAGAGAGAGAATCAAATTTTTTTTTGCATTTGAATACCACCGAACCCATCAAATAATTTTTTTTCGTTTTTAAAAATCTAGTCATAGAGTAAATAAATTTTAAACATTGTTATTTTAACAATGAAAACATTTTTAATAATAATTCCGTTTTCTCTTATTACTCGATCCGCTCCATTTTTTTCCATTTTTTTCTATTTTTACTCATCGAACATTTATCGATCATTCGTTTACTTTATTTATTGATTTTATTACGTATCGGACGAATAAACAATTGGGGAAATTTTTATTTTTATTTTTTTTTTTGGAGTGTGAAAAAATTAAAAAAAATTAATTTTCACTTAAAATCCTCCATTTTATAAATAGAAAACGGTTTAAAAAAATCACGTTTTACGTAAAAACAAATTCAAATAGTAATAACGACGACGACGATTTTGATAATGATGATGATAATTATTAGGAAAAAAAATTTCAATCGATTGATTGGTTGCAATCGATTCTTAAAAAAACAAATAATAATAATAATAATAATTATGCTCACGATTTTACTTTTTCTGGGACGACATCAAAAAAAAAAAAAAAAAAAAAAAAAAAAAATTGCAATCGCATCTTATTAAATTGACATTTTAAATTTAAAAAAAAAAAAAATTTTTTTTTTTTTATTCATCTTCCTTATTTATGCTATCAAATTTTTCAATACATTATTATTATCATTATCATTATTATTATTATTTCTAATACCATCATCATCATCATCAATTTAATTAAATATAAATACAAAA